GAGTGGCAGGAGGACCCTGCAGAGCCCAGCACAGCTGCCTTAAAGCTTCAGCGACCTGGGCAGCAGTGCTTAGCTGGAGGCTGGGAAGTAGTGCTGGGCTAGGTGAGGAGGGGAGGACTGGGAGTTCCAGGGTCAGGGCTAGTGCTGGGGGGCTCTAAGAGGCAGGGGGCTGGCACTGGGGGGGCTCTGGGGATGGGGCTAGTAATGGGGAGCTCTGAGGGCAGAGGGGCGGGCTGTAAGAGGCCAGGGGCTGACACTGGGGGGCACTGGGGCATCCAGGGTAGGGAGCATAGGGGGAGAGGGGGCTCTAGGAGCGGTGCTAGTAGTGAGAGGGTTATGGGGGCAGGGCTGGCACTAGGGGCACTGGAGATGGTACTAATATTGAGGATTGGGGCTTGGCACTTGAGGCACCCTGAAGGAGGTTGGGTGCAGTGGGGCTTTGGAAACAGGAGGCTCGCACTGGGGAATCTGGGGGGGGAGGGGGCTGGCACTGTGAAGGGCTGGGTGCAGGGGACTCTGCGGTCAGTGGCTGGCGCTGAGGGATAGTGGCGGGCTCTAGGGCAGTTGTCTCTAACCTTTTTAAGCACAAGATCACTTTTTGAATTTAAGTGCAATCCAAGAGCTACCTCAAACCCAAATACCATTACCCCACCTCCTTCTCCCCCCCCCCCATCCTCCCTCACTTTCACCAAGCTGGGGCAGAGGATTGGGGTACAGGTTCTGGTCTTGGCCTAAAGGATTTGGAGTGTGAGAGGGGCTGTGAGCTGAGCTTGGGGCAGACAGTTGGAGTGCTGGAGGAGGTTCTAGGTGCAGGCTCTGGAAAGGTGTTTGGATGCCAGGTTCCTCGGGGCTAAGGCAGGGGTTTGGGGTACAGGAGGGGGTTGATGACTTGCATAAAGGTTTGAGATGTGGGCTCCAGCTGGACCCTGCTTACCTCAGATGGCTCCTGGGTGGTGGTAAAATGGGGCTAAGGCAGACTCACCCCTGCCCTGGCCCTGCACTATTCCAAAAGCAGCTAACAAACTTGCTCCATCTCTACTCCTGTTGTGCTTCCTCTCTAATCTGTAGAGATAGGATTTGGGGTGGGAGAAGGGGGCCCCTTGACATCAGCACTCTCCTCTCCTTGCCCTGCATAGCAAGCAGAAGGCTCCTGGGGGAACAGTTCCAAGGCAAAGGGCAGGAGATGCCCAGCAGTGGGAGGGAAGAGCAGCTGAAGTGCCAGCAGTTGATAGTGGACAAACCAATCAGAATCATCTGTCAGAGGCTCCAAGATCTACCAATAGATCCTGATCTACTGGTTGGTGACCACTGCTTTAGGGGTTAGGGCTGGTGGTGAGGGGCTCTGGGGCCTGGGGCTTTTTATGCTGCAGATGGACAAACCTATTCACAGACTTTTGGTGGATGGGAACATTTTATTAGCATATTTGCAAAAGTGTGAGGGTTTGACCATCCGCAGCATTAAAGGGTTGGGAACCGCTGAGTTAACGGGTTAAATGTTAGGTTAACTAATTAACTGAGTAAGTGGGATCCAGCCCAGAGCTGGAGGGATTATCCTGCTGCTGCCGCCATCAGCGGGGGGTGGGCAGTTGTCGTCAGCAGGAGGTTCTGGGCTACAACCGCAGGTCTGAGGGGCTGCTGCTGGCGACAGGTGGCTCCCGGCCCCGGGACTCAGGCTGCTGCCACCATGCCGGCAGCAGAACGCTTCAAGCCTTGGGATCAGGAGGCAGCTGCTACTGCCAGCCATGGCCCTGAGGTTAGGGGATTGGTAGCACTGCCAACAGGCCACAGTGAGGGGAGCTGCTGCTAATCACCAGTTAACCTGTACCCAGTAAGCATCATCCTTAATGGTTACCAGTTCGCATCCCTAGATTAGAGGGGACTGAATTAAGTCTGGAAGGGGGGAATAGTATGTGATCATGTAATTGATGTGTGCACACAAGAGGCTAAATCAGGGTTGTTCAGGCAACCTTAATTCTGACATTTTTTAACTTCTTTTGAGTGGTAACTAGAGCTGTGAAATTGTTTTTGATTAATTGTTTATTCATCTTTGATTGATACAAAGCTATTTGCAAATGTGATAGCAATTCAACCAAACATTTTTTTTTTAGTGGACTGGGGTGCCATTCACATCATGGTACCCTCCACTTTGAGTTTTAGCTCTGTGTTAAGGCTCTCATCTGTGATGTGGAAGACCTGAGTTCAGTTCCTCCACACTTCTGCCTGACGTGGAACTGGGATTTGAACTTATGTCTTCCATATTGCAGGAAAATGTACTAGCCACCAGGCTATGCTATTCAAGGGGTCTGTATTTCCCAGCCTTTTGTTGAAGCTGCTCAAATTTGCATAAAATACTTGAATAGTCATGGGGGTTGTGTGGGTGCGAGAGTGTGTGTGTGTCTGTCTGACTCTATCATCTTGTGATTAGGGCACCCACCGACTAGATAAAGATCTAATTCATGTACCTGTTTGAGTCTCTCCTAATTGAAGAGCTATTCACAGCTACACATCATTGTACCTAATAGACTGGTGGTTAAAGTATTCTCCTGAGATGTGGGTAGATACAAGGTCAGATTCCTACTTCACCTCATGCAAGGGAGGAATGGAATCTAGGTCTCCGTGGTGAGTGCCTTAACCACTAAAAGTTGTGAGGAGGACAGTGTCTCCTTCCCTTCTCAATGGACAGGAGTATTGTCTTTTTCACTATTGTGTTTTAATGAGCAGCCTTTTATGACAGTCTGTATCTGATTCTTGTTTTTCTTTATAAGTGCTCCTGACACTTTTGTAGTAAGATTTTAATTTTTGTCCTTTTTCATTATAATACCTAAGTTTTTTCCTTGAGCTATATGTTTTAATCTTTTAAAGTCAAATATAGAAATGACTTATTGTAAAATATTATTTTTATTAGCAAGCTGAAAAAGCTAAGTGAAGACAGCTTAACTAAGCAGCCTGAAGAAGTCTTTGATGTTTTAGAGAAGCTTGGTGAAGGGTGAGTAAAACTGTTTGTGTGTGGGAATATGTGGAGAATATTTAAAACTAATATGATATTAAAAGTGACATAGTGTCAATGAGTATGAACTAAACTCTGACTTTTTTTAGCACTCAAACAGCAAATGCCTGTGTAGGTTTTTTGAAATCCTACCCATGCATTTTTGTCATGCCTTTCATTCACTGAGGCAGAAAAATAAGTTATTTTTGTGGTGGTAGTGAAGTCAGGAATATTTTCTTTTACACAAACTACAATTAATTACAAATTGGAATGTAGATGAGAATGATATAAAGTTATATTCAGAGTGGTATATGGGTTACCTTTCGTGTTATCATTTCATTGCTCATTTAGAGAATGTGGTTACTGTGAAGCAAAGTATCTATCTTCTTATTGCAGACTTACCCAGTGTTCCCCAAATCCTTCAGGACAGGGGGTTGACTGACAGTGTCGGGACAGGGGGACAGGACTCAGGACTGGGCCTTGGGAGTATGGGGTGGTCTTGGAAGCTGGGTGCAGGGAAAGTGCGAGAGTGAGGGATGGGGGGTGAAGAGGGGCTCAGAAAGGGGGTCTCATTTGACATGGGCCACTTCTGTACCCGCAGTCTTCCCTCCAGCCATCAGGAGCATTTTCTGTTCCTCCAGCCCCCCTCCAGATGCCAAGGGCCTTTTTTCTCCTCCCCACTCCAGCACTGCGACCCCAGAAGGGAAGGGAAAGGGCTTGGGCCAGGCGGGCTACTTACTTGGTGTGCTTGCAGGCAAGATAGTGGAGCCCCAGCCCTGCTGGCCACTCCTTTGGTGGTACAGCTATCTCCAGTGGCCACTCTGCAGATTAGGTCTCCCCTGCGGGCTTGCTGCCCCAAGTGGTCACTCTCATATTGCATCCCTCAGAACAGCAAACCCTCCATTTGCATGTTATGGAAAACCACTTTCCCCAGGGCTTCTAGTTGTCCTGGCACAACCTGACCGTGCTTTAAGTTAGGAGAAGAGGAAGCTGCATACCAAATTTGGTGGCCCTAGCTCTTACCATTTGGAAGGAGTTTTTGAACAAATGGACTCGCAGACAGATGTGCTCTAAAAGAGATTGTTTTGCAGCTTGACTATTTTTAAGGTGGGGAAAAAGGTTGAAGTAG